TGAAATGGTTGCTCATAGTTTGGATGAGGAAGATGAAGAGGGTGAAGAATAAATTTTAGATTCATATTTGATGGTGAATTCTTATAGTGAAACTTAATAACATATGTGTGCAAATTTTATATTAGTTGTTGCTACTGTTATTTTCTATCTTTTACTTTTATTGTTTTGAGGCATAGCTCTTTACTCTTGCTTTTTATGTTCTTAGTTGTAGCTTCTACTTATGTTTTATCTTTACTACACTATTTCTTTCTGTTTAAGACTTTTTTTTCTGCCAGCACTAATCTTCTTAATGTCCTTCCTTTGTTTGCAGATGGCTATAGGTGGTCAACCACCACATGGATCCCTTGTTTTAGGGACTCTTAAGACCATATACCATAGCAGGAAGAAGAGGTCGTCTACTTTTACTGATGCTTCCCACTACCATTGTATCTCCTCCCTTATCTACTGTTCCTATAGCACTTCCTCTCCAACGGGATGCAGCTACACCTCTTGTGACACCTCCTTCCACACCCATTGTTGTCACCCCTCCCGTGGCACCTGCTCCCGCACCCGATGCTAACCCGTCTCCTTTGACGCTTGCTGCTTCTGCACTTTCTCCCCCACCTACTACTGGCACAGCTCTTGAGTCAGGTTTGTCAACACTTGCCCCCTCCATGAGAGTACAATTACTGTCAGAGGGGACTCGTAAGTTATTTTTAACATTGTATTATATTTATTCTTCATGATATATGTTTTTTGGTAACTAATTTATTTCTTATGCAGATTCATTCCCTACAAGCTGCTCTTCACTTTCATCAAAGAGATTTTCAGAAGCAGGTATGGTGAGCTCTATCTGTCGTTGAAGCTTATACCTGTAGCCCTCGGGGTATGTTGTTCAGATAGTTTGAGTTATAATCTTGTAATTTGACTAAGATTCATAAATTTGATCTAATTTTTTATACTAACACATAGATGATTTTTTACGTTGTAGAGATCCTGCACTTGGCTCCTAAAAGTACCACTAGCAGATCTGCCGAATCTTTGAGATTCAGGGCAGGCAACACCTTGCCAACATGTTCACGACGATCTGCTGAAGGATCGAGCGACCTGCCTGAATTGGTGAGGGGCTATTGGGTCAGTTGACCGAAGCTTGGGTCTCTCTTGATTATGAGAGGAAGAGGCAAACGAACCGGATGACAAAGGGGGCCAGGGGAGCAGTGGTCCATATTGGAAGATCAACCCCGTACACAGAACACTTTAGGAGACTGGTAAGATTTTCTTTGATATTTAAACAATAATTCAAATTTTGGAGTAATTTTTTAGTGCTAACCATTTTTGTACGCTACACGTGCAAAGGAGTTGAGCCATGCTCCATCCATTACAAAGTTGCATGCTAGAACTCATTGGTACCCGAGGACTACACAGTGGGTATTTAGGCATTCTCGATGGGTTATTGTAAGTTAAAAACCTTCTATTAAAATTTTATTTTGACTCTAACTATTGAAAGTGTCAATTAAACACTGGTTTTCACCATGCAGGAGGAGTTCAAGCAGCTCCGACTGAGGTATTTGGCCACTCAGGCCCAAATTAACGCCAATTGTAGTAGTAATCAGTCTACTAGTATGCATTTAGAGTACGAGCTTTGGACCCAGGTGGCAGGGAGAAAGAAGGGGAAGGTGTATGGCTTTGGAGAAAAAGGCATAGCTTTCGAGGCCGAGCTCTCCTGTAATTCCATTCTTAGTTCCCCGAGCTCCTTACAGCCAGACCAGGAGACTCTTGACAGACAGGTGACTGCAATGAACGAGGAGATCGTCTAGTTGCATGAGCAGATGCTACAAGACCAACATAGAATTGAGGACTATATAGCGCTTATGGCGGAGACATTATCATATAGCCGGGGCAAGCAGCTGATGACATTCGTGCAGGAGGAGGAGGAGGAGGAGGAGGATGGAGATGATGAGTAGTTTTTTAATGATTTCTTTTATTTGTATGCATTATATTAAATATTTGTTATTGAATTTTTTAGATTAACTTTACTTTTTTATTTGGAACGATTTGCCACGGTATCTTATTCTTATTAATGATATTGTTTAGAGATTAATTTGTGATATGACTATGCTTAATATGGACATAGCTTATATTATGATTAAGGGCATAGTTTTTTTGAAAGTTGTGCTACACTTTTCAAATGGACAAATCGTCAGTTATATTATCGATGAAAACTGATGATTTACCAACAATATAAATTCAAGCCTACAATGACAATTTTATTTCGTCGGAAACCGTCGGCTAATATAAGACATAGGTAAAAGAATTACCTACAAGCATTATAGCTAGTTCCAAAGCCGTAGTTAAGCCAACAGAAATCCCTTAACCGATAACATTCAGATAGTATCCGACGGTCTTGGGGTCGTTGGAAATAAACTCATTTCCTGTAGTGAATAAGATGTTCTGCTTGGTGCTTAATTGGACACGATGCTTCAGACAACATAGGAGAGAGAAAAACCCTAACGGTGAGTGGTAAAATATGAGTCGGGCATAGGTTTTGGATGGTTAGTTTATAAATATTAGAATTTATATAAATTCTTACGTATAAAATGGTTGGTATGTAAAAACCCCATATAAAAAAAGTGGCATTTACATACATAACACCTAGCTAATTTCTATGTATTTACTTGCCTAACACCTAAACTTTGTTTTTTTTACATTTATACTACCCAAATATTTCATATCGCATAAGAAAATACCATCATGTTTACTTTAAAATGCAAAATACACCTTCTTCATGTGTTGGATAAATAAATACACTGGAATTAAGTGGCACGCATCTAAATCTTCCTACAAAGCTTATCTATATACCCCCCACATACCTATTTTTTCTTATATTATGCCACAAATGCCTCATTTTTCAAATCCCCATCCGATTGCATTGATCTACATCACACTACACCTGTGCAGATAAACACTAAGAAGATATATTCCAATATATAAAGGCAACAAGTGACTCACCCATCAATATTTATCACGTTACTATATCTAATCATTATCTTCCTCATCTTAAAGAGCATGAACAAATTAAACATACTTGGAATTAACCAGAGCCTGCCAGCTATCATCTGCTGACAAGAATCTATATTACAAAAGTTGCCAAATCTAACCTAGCTTTATTTATTTATTTATTCTTTTACTTCAATTATGAATGTGAAAGAGACATTATACATCCCATTTTTAGGTACACATTTTCTGTCTGGACTTCTGATATAGCTCTAAGTGTCGCGCAGGTTATTCCTGCATTATTTTCAGGTTATTTTTGGATTATTTTGAAAATAATCTAAAAATAACCTAAAAATAAAGACCGCGAGTTATTTTTGGGTTATTTCGGGATTGTTAAAAATAACCCAGAAATAACCTTAAAATAATTCAGGAATAACATCCGCAACACGTAAAGCTACGTTAAGTCTGCACAAAAAAATTAGGTCATTTTGGGCCAACTTTATTTCATTAGGTAAGCCTTTTGATCGAAACATGCCATCTTTTTTTGACTTCTCTTATTGTATTATATATAATGGTTATGTTTTGCTTCTTATCCAACATTGTTAGACATAATATTTTAGTACAATGTGTCACATTGCTAAATAAAAATTCTACCTGTCGGCTACTGAGCAGGTGGGTGCGGTGGCTTATCCGGTGGATGAGCGACTGTAGATTAAGGGACGTGTGTAGTGTGCCTTGAGGGTGGGTAAAGGGGTTGGTGGTGTGGGATAAAAAGAAATGGGCTCTTATTTTAATGAAATCAGAAAAAAAATATAGTAATAATGTGGAGCATTTGCTTTCATGCTACCCAATTCTTATGTATTTATGTATCCAACACTTAAATTTTTCTTTTTTATGTTCATGTTAATCAAGTTTTTCAAATCATATTAAAGAAGACCACTAATTTAAGTTTGAAAAAGGGGCAGAGCAAAGAGCATGATTCATGTATGGGAAAACTGTGTTTAAAAATGGGAGACTAATGTTTTGAATTTTCAGTGACATTTTGGAAATTTTGATGAGAAATCTTCGTATAATTTTATATTAAGAGGTTGTAAATCTTGTTGAGCTGAAAAAAACTGAATTATCATACATAAGAAAATGATCAATAAAACGATAAAATTATATTAAAAATACCAAAAGGTAATAATGCAAAGGGACTACATTAAGATTGGTTTTAGAGACATCGGCTAAGGTTTGGCAAGGTCACCCCCCGCTTTTGGCCTTTGGCCTCCCTCATCTGCCACACCTGTCACCCGCCACCTCCGGCATCGTTGCTAGCTGCCTGCCTTGCCAATTGCCAGCTGCCCGACATTGCCACTCATCGATGTCAGATGCCGCTATCGCTTTTCGTCGCACTGGCATTTCTACGTTTGCCGACGCCAGCATGAAGTAGTTCAAATACACATTATTTTCAATTTACTTCAAACCAAACAAAAAAAATATAGTCCTACATTTATTTTGCAGTGAACCAAATAACTCTAAAATATTTCAAATTCATTGTAATCATAATACTCTATAAATCTTTTACATTAAATTATTTTTAGCAAATTAAATGAGCCTTTAAAAATTACTTTGAATCAACCATAAATTATCTCACAATTCAAGATAATTTTTAACTAGCTTTAAATTTTAAAATTAAAAAGTTTAGTCAAAGCATAAACAAAGAGAAAAAAATAACTTAAGATAATTAAACTTTTAAACTGAACAAATTTAAAAATTTAACATTTACTTGTAAATAAATATAACATAAATTTTAATTTATTTTACAACATTTATATTTTTTTAATTTTAGAATTTTATTTTATTCTATTATATTGATATTACTTTCACCCCCATTAAGGTACTTTAGATGGGGTGCCATACCATACCAATCCGCATCAACAAAACACTAACCAATCAAACTCACCCACGCGTCCAGCCGTTTAATTTACAACAGTAATGGAGTTCAAAGTCCCCATTCAAAAATTTTTAAAATTTTCACATTCTGCACTCCCCCGACTCCCTCCCCATTATTTCCCCCATTGTTTCCACCGAGAGTGCTTAGATTTCTAGGAGTGCAGTGGGTGCACAAACTGTGTTTTCTTCTTGATCCATGGAGGTTGATTTCAAAGAATTTAGAAGGAAAGACCTGCAAAGGCTATGTAAGAAGCACGGACTGCGTGCGAATGCCACAAATTCTCAAATGGCGGATAGTCTTGCTTCCTTTTTCAGGGTATCTTCTTTCTGCACTGTCTTTTTTATTCGATTTTCTCTCTGCCGGATTTATTTGCTTTGAATATCCTGGATTGATCTGCATGTAAAAATCGAGCAGATGGTTGAGAAGAATAAACAAGGTAAAGTTGTTTCGAAAGGTTGTGGGGGAAATAGGAGCAGCAGAATGGAGGGAGTGGAAGGGGATGCTGAAAAGGTCGTCATTGTTATAGATGAAGATGAGGATGAGCTTGGTTCTGTTCTACGAAGCGCAGATAGGAAATCTTCATTAAATAGTCGAAGGTCAAGTGAGAAGGACGAACAGATGGAACCTCGCGGTGAAGGTCCCGGTGGGGCAAGTTTGAAATTGATTGAAGAAAATGACGTCATCGTTCTAGATGAAGAGGATGACGAACTTCGTCCTGTTTTAAAAAGCCCAGATGGGAAGAAGAGTAGAAGGTCAAGTGGAAAGGTTGGCAAGGCATGTGAATCTGGTGGAAGTAATGAAGAAAACCAAACTGCTGGTACTGTTACAAGTTCTAAGGAGGGCCTTTTAGCCGCAGGTAGAATCACAAGGTCTCCGTCAATGAATTCAGAAGTCGCGCACTCTCCATTTATTAAGAAGGCGAATGCGGGTCGACAAAATGGCGAACCGGCTTTAGATAGTTGCGAGGTTGAAGGTGACGAAGATGTAACAAGGGAAGAAAATTCGAGCGTAATGATTTCAGCTGGAGATGTGGAAGTTAAAAGAAAATGGAATAACAGGAATTCCTCTATGAAGGTCAATGATGAAATTGTGGTCTGTTTGCCTAATGAAGTTTCCGTAACTGAGAATTTGGTGGGTGATGTGGTCCATGAAAAACATGTAGATACTGTTATGGGATCTGACATTACTTTCTCCATTGACGGGGCGCAAGGAAGCCAGGGTCCTGAAACACGAAATGAGGAAGACATTGAAGAAAATGAACTGTGTACTACTGGCAACTTGATGGAAATAGTTGCTGGAAGTGTTGGAACAAGGAGGAAAAAAAGAACAAGAGCAGGTTTGGCACAAGACAGCCCTGCTAGTGAACAAGAAATTGATGAGCTAGGAAGAGCCCATCGTGATGCATTATTGCATAGAGACGAAATTTTGGAACCAGAAGTTTGCTTTGGCTCATCACAAATACTTGGAAGTCCATTGTCATCCAACCCTTCTTCATCTCCGCCGTGTTTGTTGTTATCAGAATTGCATGGCAGACAAGGTGAGATTTGTGGGAAGAAAACAAACATAAACAACTTGTCAATTATATTAATCATCATTAACCTGATGCTAACTTTTTTGTTTAGCTTTATAATTCCTCATTTTTAATATATCACTACTTGAAGAATTATTTTATGTAAAACCTATTATTTCATTCAACATATGTGTTTAAATAGGTGTTATAATGTTTAACAAATAAACTCAATAAAACCCTCTAATTACAGACGAAAGATATTCACTAAGCCCATCTTGTCACATAATCTAACTCCATTGAACTAAGTCCTTTAGTGAGGCAATCGGTCACCTACTCTCTAGTAGCTACATGACTTAGTTCCAACAATTTATTATTCATTTTTTCCTTGATGAGGAATCTATCAATCTCCACATTAGTTCTATCATTCTGCATCGAGTTGTTAGCAATGATGATTGTCGACTTGTTGTCACACCACAACTTCTTTTAAGTTCCCTGATCCACTTTGAGTTCAACCAACAAGCTTTTTAACCACATCATCTCAACAACTACTAATGTCATGACCCAGTGTTATGCTTCTGTTGTTGTTCTTGCTACCACTGACTATTTCTTGCTCTTCCACAAGACCAAATTGTCACTTACAAACATGCAGTATCCTGATGTGGATGGTCTGTCATTAGCACAAGTTGTTCAGTTAGAATCACAAAAGTTCTCAATATTTACATGTCCATTCTTTTTGAATTCTTTCCCTGCTGCACTCTTCAAATACTTCAAAATCTTGTACACTATATCCATATTCTTTGGGTTATGTATGTAGCGAATCATCACACTTACTGCAAAAGAGATATCGAGTTGAGTGTGACACAAATAGATCAAGAGGCCTACCAGCCTTTGGTACCTCTCACGATCAACTGATTTACCTGCCTTTGTATTGAGGTTGACCTTCTAGTTAATTGGAAAGACTGTAGGTTTGCACCCTCGCATACATGTCTCCTTAAGAAGATCCATTACATACGTTCTTTGGATAGGACCATCCCTTCAGGTCCATGGGCCACTTTAATTCCAAGAAAGTATCAGAATTGTCCCCAGAATCTTTACCTCAAATTGCTTCCATAATCTTCCCTTCAATTGAGCAATCTCCGTCTTATCATCACCAATGATAATTATATCATTCACATACACAACAAATATGGTAATGTGATTTTCATGTTGCTGAAAGGATACTATGTGGTCTGCATTGATCTGCTAATATCTCATGCCAACCATTGTCATTATAAACTTGCCAAATCATGCTCGAAGAGACCGCTTCAAGTCATATAGTGACTTCCTGAGCCTACACACATTGCCCATTCTAATTGGATGCACTGATTCCTGGGGATTTCTTCATATATACTTCATCAAGTAACTCACGATGAACAAAAACATTTTTCACATCCAGCTGGTAGAGCGTCCATCTGCCATTCACTATCAGAGAAGTCAGTGTCCTCATCGTGCTCATCTATGCAACTGGTGTAAATGTATCATCTTAGTCAATATCATACGTCTGACTGAACTCTTTTGCCACTAGTGTGCTTTGTACCTCTCCACATTCCATTTTGGAGCTTGCTTTAACGTGAAGATCCACTTGCATCTAACTGTCTTCTTTCCTGTTGGTAGCAGCACAATCTCCCGTGTCAGTTTTTATCAGGAGCTCCAAGCTCTTCATGCATCGTTTCCACTTGGGATCCTCTTTATCAACTTGCCAATACTTGGGTATAGAGATAGAATCAAATGATGCAATGAATGTTTCGTGCAAAGGTGAGATGTTAGAATAAGAAATAAAATCCACAATGTCAATTTCCCACCTAAAATGATCAGGAGTTGTCTCGCATTGTTGTGGGGGTCCTCCTTAATGTTGGAGGGTAGGAGTGGACTGAAGAAGAATAATATCATATGGAGTTTTAAATCAAAGGTAGATGGTGTAAGTGTCTTAAGTGTTGGGGAAGACCCGTATAATAGGCTTATTAGAACTGCAGACTCTGTTTTCTCAGTTTACCTTTTTCTTCGTATATACATCCTTAGCTCACCTTCAACATGAATCCCACCACCTCTGCGTTCAATATACTCGATTTTTGTCTCCTCAGTTGATTCATCCATAGGATATGAAATTGCTCCAACTTGCACCACTCCATCACCATTACTACTCACTCTCTCTTGCCTCATATCTCTATTGTCTATTGAATCACGAAGGGTGAATTCACCTCCAGAGTGTAGCATGGTTCAAACTCTCTGAATGACACATCCATACTTACAAAGAGGCTCTTCTCAATCGGGTTCCAGCAGATATAACCCTTCTGAGTAGCAGAATAACCTTTGAACACAGATTTCATAGCTCAGGGATCCAATTTTCCTACAAATAGCCTGTTGTCTTTCACAAAGTATATACATCCAAATATCTTCAATGGAAATGTCTCACTATTGTCTTCTTTCAATATCTGACAAGGAGGCTTCCACTTCAGCTCTCTTAAGGGCATCATGTTAATCAATTGAGCGGCTGCTAACACTGTTTGCCCCTAGAAGTGTTGTGGGACATTCATTGCCATCATTATGCTCTCTGGGCTACCTCTAGAAGATGTCGATTTCTTCCTCTGTTACTACATTCTGTGCCGGTGTGTACAGGCATGTGGTTTGGTCTTGTGTCCCTTGAGTTAACAGGTTGTCCCCAAGTGCTTTGTTGATATATTTTGTCTCATTATCAGATCTTAGTGCCTTCACAACTACCCCATATTGGGTTTGGATTGTCTTGTGAAAAATTTTAAAGTAAACAACCACCTCATTTTTCTATTTCATCAAGTATATCCAAGTAACAAAAGAAAAATAATCAATAAACGTAACAAAATAATGATAACCATTCAAAGAAGTGGTAGGACAAGGTCCCTGACAGCGACTCTATATATGCTTAAAAATATAAGTAATTAATACTGTTGCTAAAAGATTTAATTTCTCAGCAACTGTACCAAAACTTAATAACAGTTATAGATTCGGTTAAGATTGATGTAATACATATTCAATAATTATAAAGTCACATTTATCAACGCAAGTATACGTATCGCTCAAGCAATATAAGGTTCTAATGGAGTCCTAGATATCGATCCCATAGGGAGTAATATTAGAACTACGAACTATGATTTTGAAAAACAATACTTTAATCGCAACAATGAAATTCAATTTGTTTATCTGTCACTGATAGACAATTGAAATAAATATGTAATTTTCTTAATAACTCTTAAATAACTAATTATTCTAATGAGATTTTTAATGTGATATTCAATATATAAGAAAACATCATTCTACTTCTCAAGAAATTATAGTGAATGGATAAAATGAATCAGTTTAATTTGTATTGTGCCAAATATGAGCATACCTATTCTTTACCATTTGGTCTAGGCATAAAAAATATTGACTAATCCTACGCTTGTATACTGAATCTGCGGCTAGGCTGGGAAGATACCGACTCTCACTTCAGAGCTCCCACGTTCTCCTCGCCTGGTGGCTAATATCTACAGTTCAGCACCTAAACGATAGGACCGAATTTGAGATTTTAGTATGTCACTCTAAAATATCTAATTCTACGCCCGATAATTTTATTTCCCTATTTATTTGCACCCAATTTTCAAGGATTTTGACCTCCCTGAATCTTGAATGTAATTTTCACTTTAGTCGTAAAACTCAACATATTTTAACAAATCAATTGATTAGATTGAAAGTAACTTAATATCGAAGTGAAAATATCATCACAATTTCTTAAACATCTTCATGGTTTCACCAATTCAAATCACTATTTCACAAATCTCAAGACAAGGAGAAAGACAGAGAAAATTACTCAGATCTCATGGGGAAAACACAACAAAACTCAAAATTCATATATAAAATCAAAGTCATACAAACTACAACAATTAAATAACTTATCTCTGATTTCTCCCCAAGAAAACTCCTCGAAGTTCCTCTGAATCTCTTCTTTTCTTTATAGCGCACAAAATTCCTCTTCGAAGCGGCAAAGAGGAAGAAATCTCTCACTTTTCCTCCACTCTTACAATCTCTCGAAGAATTTTTCACAATTTAGACACTCTAGTAAACTCTCTACACACTAATGGAACATTTCTAACCTCCAGGACCTCTAGACTCTCTTCAATTTTCGGCTAAAATCTTCTTCTAAAGTTGTGGATGAGTTTTCCCAAGAGTTGCCTAAGCACCCCTCCAAAATTCGTCATCATCCAAAGCATGGTTGGACATAACCGCCGATCTCGCCATCGGCGACCTCGAGGGCGCCATCGGCGGGCTTCTGAAGAATTTTATCCTGTAGTCTTGGGAAGAACTCGTTGTCGGCGGCCTAGTTCAATTCTTCATATTTTGGTCCTTTTCGCTCCAAATTCACTCCTTTTTGTATCTTTTTGCTCCAATGACCCTAATTCATCATTCTTCAACAAAACATAAAAAATACCTTTCTTTGAAGTGCAATAACATCAAAAACAGTATAAAATAGGTATGAAAATCTCAACATATTTTCCTTTGGTCATACACCAAGTTTATGATCTATTGTAGTAAAGTTTTAATTCAGAAATACTATAAGTTTGATTTAGATAAATATCATAGTGAGATTTTCAGAAAACATTCAAGTAATTAAATTAACTCTGTAGCTACCAGATTATCTAGTCATCATGTTTAAGAGTTCTATTCTTCTATTCATTTCAAGAATAACTATATGTTGTAATATTAAGTCGTTTAGAATATCCAAAGGATATGAATTTCATGGGAACATTACTAGTAAAAGATCTAATCCATAAATATAAGTTCATGAATGTATTTAGGTTTTCCCTTTAGATAAGTCTAGTGAAGCCAATTTTTGATTGGACATATTGACCGCTACTTTATATATGCTTAAAAATATAAAATAAATATGGACGTAATAAATATTCAATAATTGTAAAGTCACACTTATCAATGCAAGTATACGTATCACTCAAGTAATATAGAGCTCTAATGGAGTCCTA